AAGATACACTGACCGTGTAGAGATTTAACTTGTTCTCATATTTGTAAAATCTAAGTTATGATGGAACTGTTTCCTTGTAGTGGAAAAAGAGATAATAGTGTTGTTAGAAAGTCCAACATTATATTTTTAGTTGAATATTTTGTTTATTCCTTTATTTCACTGCACCCATTTGAACAAAATATAGCCTAGATTCTGATATTGTTGAAAAGATTGTGTTGTAAAGAATAAGTTTGGAGATGTGCACTTATGTTGAAATAAATCTGCATTGTGAAGCAATACCACTTGCACTGAATTGGAAATATTTTTGTAAAATACACTGAATTACAAGACTTTACAGCATAGTGCATTATTTTCAATGATTTAGAGGTTATAAAAACCACTTTAATAATAATATGTCTTGATCTATAGTGGGCCCGTCTGAGGCCTCAAACTCCAGGGCTGAAAATGAGTCCCACTCCGGCCCTGTCTCTGACACAATTGCTTGGATATTCTCCCTGCCTCAGTCATCTGTCAGGAGGTTAGTGGCTGTTTATTCTTTCCACTAACTTTTCTCTCCTCTGCCTAGAGAAAGTTCCCGCTCCCAGTCTCGTGACGACCCGGACAAGCTTCAGCAGTTTCTCTTCCAATAAAAAAATTAAATTATTTTTGTGGTTTGGCTGTATCTCAGAACTCAAAACCTGTATCTTATCAAGTTCATCCATTTTCTACACAGGCTGCCCTTTACTAGTTCCTTGCTAATTTGCATAAGTTTTGACATTCTTTTTTTGCCACCTCGGTGGAGCAGAAGTTGTACTAGTCAGTCAAAGTATTAACCTAGTAACCTAAAGCTCCTTCATTATCAAGTTGTGTCCTTCAGCTGAGAAAAGCAAAGGTTTGATTAAAACTCAGTCTTTTTGAGGAAAGAAATGGTCTCACTTACAAGACCCCCGCTCAACCTGTATAAAAAGGCTTGCACCTCTCTCCGGGAAGAGTTTGCAAGTTCTGCTTTGGCTCAGTCACTCCACAAGCAATAGTTTGTTTATGTGAAATTTGCTTGTACGCAAGTGTGGGGCCGGAAATAAAGACCCCCTTTTGCTGACATTGAATCGTTGAGAACTGCTTACAGGAATCCCTGATGAGAAGGGGCTGAACATAGTGCGTCCAACTTGAGGCGTTTTGCACTTTTTGGCGGCTCAAAACGCATTCGGCATGAACGTAGCATAAGAGTCCTATCTAGATGCCTTTTTTATTTACTAGCTGATCCCTATAAAAAGAAAATAGAAACTGTGTTGTACTGGGTAACTAGTGAGCATTTATCAGTACTGTTTACTAGTAATGATTCTCAATAGATTACAGAAGTCAACTAGTATGACAACATTTTGAGTAGTTGTGACAGAGTAAGAATTTGTCTTATTTCTAAATGACTTTCTCTGATTAGAATAAAAGCCAATCACCACTTAGTGTGCCTTTGCATGTGGGTCACTGATGGTGTTGCAACAATGCTCTCATGAATGGTACATGCCCTTCCTCTTGACTGCAGTGATATCCTGCAGGTCATTCAGTTGTGGTCTTCTCTGGTTATATTCCACTTGCATAGGAATCATGGTCCTGGTCTGCTGTTAAGCCCCATCTCCACTGGCACGCTTGTATGTGGTTCGGCTCGGTTCGGCCTCAGCCACGTACCTCCATTAAATTCCAACTGCGCACAACTGCGATGAACCGCAATAAATCCAAATGAGGTGATTTACACCCCACCCCACTCTAGCTTCCAGATTGATCAATTATAGTTTGATAGAGGGGTTTACAACTATCTAGCAGCACAGAAATATTTTATTTACAAATTATTAAAATATGTCAACAAGGAAAGACTTGTCCAGCCAGCCTTAGATGTTACAAGTCTGACCCAGAGCAAGAGGAGAATTAAGTACCAAATTTTAGTCGGTAAGTCCAAACCTTATTTGGCAGTTCCATCACAAATAATATGACGTAATAAAAAAAAGAATCACGAATGGGGGAAGAACGGAGCGGGAGATCGACAGGCGGATTGGCGCAGCGTCTGCTGTAAAGCGGGCGCTGTACCGGTCCGTNCAGCTAAAGAAGGTCAAAACATTAAATAAATGAGAAACAGTGAGGAACTTGGAAGAAATAAAGTGATGACTGGATGTGGAAAAAAATAAAAGGGTACGTGCATTTTAAAAATGAACCAGTTTAAGGTTTTACTGTGTAATAATGGTCAATGTGTTGATACTAAGGAGAGGGTAAAGTGTTTTGTTCTACATGATGAGTAACAGGGGTTCCTATTTGTGCACCTGCACTAAAAACAACAAAAACACGGCAGGTTCACATGGCCGGGCTTTGAAAAGACAAAAGAAAGAGGAAAAGAGTGAAAATGTGTTCAGGTCAGAAGGAAAGTGACTCATGGAGAAAGGTCTCAGAAAACACACGGGAAGTGAGTGGCATTAGTGGTGCGGCGAGCCAGAAAACACGTTTCAAAACACAGAGATGGTTTACAGCAGGAGGACAGAACGAGACAGAGTCATATGTGATCTCTGCGCTTTTACGCATGAAAACAGGAGAAAACAAGAACTCACCTGTTAGAGGAGCACAGCGCTGTTTCCTCTCATTCAAATCATATTCCGTCCCTCAAGAACGGGACTCTCTTTGACTTTTCTCCCCACAATTAAAAAAATAATAATAATGTTTCTTGTCGTTCTACAAAGAACAACGTAAAAAAAATCCCAGAGAAGTTTTCTCCAAACGGTTCGCCTGTGTTTGACACCGGTTGAAGGCAGCCCGCAGCTCTGTGGTTTAACTCTGACTGACTGACTGCATCCAGCCGCTGCTCTGCTCCTCTCATCTCCTCAAGCCCCGCCCCCTCTGTCTTCACGAGCGCTCCGTGACGCATCCAGGTGCCGCGGCGGACACACGCGGTCAGGTAACCAATCACACGGCACGACCAGGCAAAGATAAACTGCTTTGAATGTTTCAGTTACACTGAAGTCTAATCTGGGCACGGTTCGGATGTTTGGGGTTCTGTGGAAAAGTCAACTCACTGCGCCTGAACAACTCAAAACAAGTCACATGTTTAATTTGCAGTCCTGGGTTTGAGTCCCAGATCAAACCCGGGGTCTTTCCTGCGGGGCACCAAATGTAAAATAAAATGTCCAAAAAGTCACAAATACATTTTTATTATTTGGCTCACTTCCTGAGTGTTAAAACAAGTCATCAAACATATTATATTATAGCCCGCTGTTCTTACATTTCGCCAATGTTCAGTTTAAACTGTAAATATTAAATTCTAAAGTTAAATGTGTAAATCTAAATGTAACAGAAATCCAAAATGTTTGTATTTAAGCAGGGGCGGAGCCAGATGTGTGGCAGCAAGTGCCACCCACAGCACGATCGGCCACCCCAGGTTCCACCCCCAAGGAGCTTGGATTTTGTATTTGCATTAAGATTTTGTTCGATTGTTCTCTGATCTTAATGTACTGCATACATTTTCTTTAGCTTAATTTTCATTGCTTATGTTTAATTTTGTTTTCTGTTTCATTTTTAGGGCAGCTGGGCTCTCCCTTAGAGATAGGGTGAGAAGCTCGGTCATCCGGGAGGGACTCAGAGTAGAGCCGCAGCTCCTCCACGTCGAGAGGAGCCAGTTGAGGTGGCTCGGGCATCTGGTAAGGATGCCTCCTGGACGCCTCCCTGGTGAGGTATTCCGGGCACGTCCCACCGGGAGGAGGCCCCGAGGAAGACCCAGGACACGCTGGAAGGACTATGTCTCTTGGCTGGCCTGGGAACGCCTTGGAGTTCCCCCGGAGGAGCTGGAAGAAGTGGCTGGGGAGAGGGAGGTCTGGGCCTCCCTCCTGAAGCTGCTGCCCCCGCAACCCGACCCCGGATAGGCGAAGAAAATGGATGGATGGATGGATGGATGGATGGATGGATGGATGGATGGATGGATGGATGGATGGATGGATGGATGGAATAAAAAAAGAGAAAACTAAATGTGTTGAAAAATATGACCCAAAAGGAATATAAAGCTATCTAAGCAGCATTAGGAGAGGCTAAATGTAAATTTTATGCACTACTAGAGACTTCAAGTACACAACAAAATGCATTTAATGGCTAAAAAAGTGGAGTTTGCATATGTCCCCTTTAAATTGTGTTTTTTTAATGGCAGCGTCACTGTATGAAATGTAAGCCACACTACATCATACATAAGATATTTAACAAGCACTACAAAAACATAATGGTGCCTAAGCATCCACTAAATTCAGCTGTAACATTATTAGGATGCTGTAAATGAAATGACACAATTTACAAATTGTGAGGTCTACTCTGTTTGTAGGGCAGCTACATTTATTGCTAACTATTTAGCAATAAATGTAGCTAATTATATTATAAATTATTATTAAAAAATTATAAATTAGCGATTATGACCATTTCTCCCTATTTTCTTTATAATTCGTTCTTATTTAATAATGTGTGCAGGAGTGACATTCATACACTTTGGGACTCTTCAATCACTATAACTTTACTTTTCAATGAAATGCTTTAGAAGTTTTGTTAAAAAAATCTTCCATGAAGTAAGTTAGATTTTCTGAAGAACATTTTTAATCACATGCATGTTACAACTTTTAATTCCTTTGATTTTTTTATTAAACATGTTGGTTATATACTTTATGTCTGCCAGTCTAACTAAAAAATGGTACTTACAGTATGCATAAAATTTAACTTTACTGAACCTGCTAGCTGTAGTGATAGTAAATTACAGAGCCATGTTGCTGAACTGAATAAATAGAAATGAAAAGCAGGGTGATGTAAATGAATCTGATCAATGATAAACAACAAACATGATTGACAGCTTAATAAACATCCTCACAGAGCCAGAGGGCATCAGCAGCAGCATCACTAGGCTTTCTTTTCATTGATTTATTAGATCATGGTTGTAAAATAAATGATTACATGGACCAGTGGTTATTGTACATATAAATTATGCCACTACTATCACTGAAATCAATACAACACATGGAAAGAAAGACACTGAGTTAATAAAACTGCCAGCCTGCTTCAAAAGAACCCAGCTACGTCAAGTTTCTCTGCGTATGTAACTGAACTATACATCAGCTACTACTTTGATTAGAAAATTTATCTTCAATGTCTCTACATCCCTGGATTTTTTTAAAATAGATATTCCTTTGTCCTTCTCCTTGGGCTGCCACCTTATCGTGGTGGAGAGGTTTGAGTGTCCCAATGATCCTAGGAGAAATGTTGTCAGGGGCTTCATGCCCCTGGTAGGGTCACCCAAGGCAAACAGGTCCTAGGTGAGGGATCAGACAAAGTACAGCCCAAAGACCCCTATGATGAGTGCAACAGATGGACTTGGAGTTCCCACGCATGGACGCGGGTCACTGGGACCCCACTCTGGAGCCAGGCCTGGAGGTAGGGCATGTTGGCGAGTGCCTGGTGGCCGGGCTTTCACTCATGGAGCCCGGTCGGGCACAGACCAAAGAGGAGACGTGGGTCCCCCTCTCCATGGGTTCATCGCCTGTGGGACGAGCCATAGGGGCCAAGTGCAATGTGTTATGGGTAGTGGTCAAAGGCAAGGACCTTGGCGGTCTGATTTTCGGATACAGAAACAGGCTCTAGGGATGTGGAATGTCACCTCTCTGGTGGGGAAGGAGCCTGAGCTGGTGTGTGAGTTTGAGAGGTTCCGACTACATATAGTCGGACTCACCTCGACGCACTACTTTGGCTCTGGAACCAGTCTCCTTGAGAGGGGTTGGACACTCTTCCACTCTGGAGTTGCCCATGCTTAGAGGCACTGAGCAGGAGTGGGCATACTTATTGCCCCCCCCCATCTTGGTGCCTGTATGTTGGGGTTCACCCCGGTGAATGAGAGGGTAGTCTCCCTCTGCCCACGTGTGGGAGGATGGGTTCTGACTGTCATTTGTGTCTGTGCAGTTCAGATTACCCACCCTTTGTGGAGTTCTTGGAGAGGGTGCTGGAGAGCTCACCTGATGGAGACTCCTTCGTTTTTCTGTGGGACTTCAACACTCATGTGGGCAATGACAGTGAGACCTGGAGGGGCGTGGTTGGGAGAAACAGACACCCGATCTGAACCCGAGCGGTGTTTTGTTGTTGGATTCCTGTGCTCATCATGGATTGTCCATAACAAACACCATGTTCAAGCGTAAGGGTGTCCATATGTGCTCTTGGCATCAGGACACCCTAGGCTGCAGTTTGATGATCAACTTTATTGTCTGTGGTTGCATGGAAAATGACTTACGTACGACTTTGGGGACACGATTCCGGTGAGAGTTGCACTCTGCCAAGGTTGCCTTTTGTCACCAATTCTGGTCATAACTTTCATGAACAGAATTTCTAAGCACAGCCAAGGTGTTGAAAGGATCTGTTTTGGTGACCTTAGATTTGCATCCCTGCTTTTTGCGGATGATGTGGTCCTATTGGCTTCATCAGATCGTGATCTCCAGCTCTAACTGAAGCTGAGTGTGAAGCAGCTGGGATGAAGATCAGTGCCTCCAAATCTGAGACTATGGTCTTGAGCTGGAAAAGGGTAGGGTACCTTCTCTGGGTTGGGGAAGACGTTTAGCCCCAAATGCAGGAGTTTAAGTATCTCAAGGTCTTGTTTACCAATGAGGGAAGAACAGAGCAGGAGATTGATAGGCGGATTGGTGCTGCATCTGTAGTGATGTGGGCGTTGTACCGATCCGTCTTGGTGAAGCAAGAGCTGAGCCATAAGGCAAAGCTCTCGATTTACCGGTCGGTCTACGTTCCTGCTCTCTTCTACGGTTACGAGCTTTGGGTAGTGACCGAAAGAACAAGATCATGGATACAAGCGGCCGAAACGAGTTTACTCTGCAGGGTGTCTGGGCTCTCCCTTAGAGATAGGGTGAGAAGCTCAGTCCTCCAGGAGGGACTCAGAGTAGAGCCGCTGCTCCTCCACATCGAGAGGAGCCAGATGAGGTGGCTCAGGCAACTGGTTAGGATACCTATTGGACACCTCTCTGGTGAGGTCTTTCGGGCATGTCCCACTTGGAGGAGGCCCAGAGGAAGACCCAGGACACGCTGGAGGGACTATGTTTCTCGGCTGGGAATGCCTTGGGATCCCCCCAGACGAGCTGGCCCAAGTGGCTGGGGAAGGAGAATTCTGGATCACTCTGCTTAGGCTGTTGCCCCCGAGACCTGACCCCGCATAAGCGGAAGAAAATGGATGAACATATTCCTTTTTCCATGTTATATACATTTTCACAATTTAAATACATTAGAATAAAAAGCTTTGCGCCTTGAACAAACATGTCTACTAAATCCGAAAACCGCCCACTTCTACACACATACCCCCATCTTCCCAGTTTAATTCTTTGTTTTAAGTTGGGAATTTGATTTTTTAAGTTTCATTTAAGTTCCACTTTTTTAAGTATAAAGCACTGTCGGGGATGTCTCTGAGCATTTATATACTGTACATATACACTCACCGGCCACTTTATTAGGTACACCATGCTAGTAACAGGTTGGACCCCCTTTTGCCTTCAGAACTGCCTCAGTTCTTCGTGGCATAGATTCAACAAGGTGCTGGAAGCATTCCTCAGAGATTTTGGTCCATATTGACATGATGGCATCACACAGTTGCCGCAGATTTGTCGGCTGCACATCCATGATGCGAATCTCCCGTTCCACCACATCCCAAAGATGCTCTGGTGACTGTGGAGGCCATTTGAGTACAGTGAACTCATTGTCATGTTCAAGAAACCAGTCTGAGA